AGGGTGGACTTGAATGCCATGCCCATTTACTCGGATGAAAATTTGAGGAAGCCTCCAATTAAGTCTTTATTTTAAGATGAACACACAACACCAATGGGTGGATAGTTACATTTGGTATTGAGATATCAATCAATAGAATCTTGACAATATATTAAAATTTAATTCTAATTAAAACTTAATATAAAATGATATCAACTTTGAGATTTAGATTCTCATTCTTCTATCCCACGAGTAATTGATATCTACTTTCTATTTAATACAATATTTGGTCAAGCTATTAAAAGGCATTATTCTCAAATCCTTCCTTCTAGAATAGAGCGGAATGACATGAAACTAGGTCCTTCTTTTTTCTAAGCAAAGGGAATAATGGATTAAAAAGCATAAGAAGTACTAACCATTACAAACGGAACCATCAAAACATCTAGGAAAAACTAATTTCACCCTACAATACAAGTACAATGATCCATACACCGGGACATTATCTAAATTAGGTTCTTGAGAAGAATGACACTAAATTCCTTCCCTAAAAAAATAAATTCATTTCTCATAAGCCAAGTTGACCAAAACAATTGAAACCTATAATGTAATCCACATCTGAGATGACCCTTTTGCCTTCTCGCATAAGCTTTGAAATAAAGTTTAAAAAGATATATGTAGGAGTTAGATAGAAGAATTGGAATACTTAACGAAGAGTAGAAGCTCATCCATACATTTTCAGCAAATTTGCACGAGACAAATAGTGGATCAACCGATTTCGAATCCTATGAACAAAAAATACAAACCAAGTCCTCATCTGTCTGAATGATCAACCGATTTCGAATCCTATGAACAAAAAATACAAACCAAGTCCTCATCTGTCTGAATGATCAACCTCTTTTGAAGCTCCATCTTCGTTGCTACCTTCCCCCTAAACAACTTTAGATTCTTATTATCAACCATCAACATATTAATTACCATCTATAAAACTTTGAACTTTTTTACTTGTTTTTGTATGGTATGTTATATGTATATGTGTATATGTATTATGTGTCAAAGTCCCACATCGGGTAGTTCAATAAGTTTGCTTCAAGTTTTATGTATAAAAGGAAATGACGTCTAATCTGTTGATTCGTCAAACTATTTGGTTCCACTTGTGAATTGTTCTGAGGTTTAATTCGCGAGGACAAATTCACATACAACAATAACAAGGTAACTTTCTTCCATTATTTCTTTCTTTTTATGATCATTTATTTATTTAAATTATGTCTTATACTATTTTGTTTCTATTTTATTTGTGAATTTAATTTTCTTGTCTTTATTCATTTTTTATTAGTTATATTTTCAAATAACCTCTAAGCATTTTTTTGACTTGAGAATGGTATTTTAATCCAACTTTTATTCATTCCACATATAATAATAAGAGTGAAACCCTTAGTCATTTGATGTATTATCTCGGAATGTGACAATTAACCAATAATATTTCTTGAACTAGGTTTTATCATCAATGATAATCTTTCCTCTTTTCGGATGGTAAATATTTCTCAGAACATGGAGTGTGAATCAAACCCATGTTTGAATTGAAATTGAGATACTGATGCAAGTTCTTCCCTTCTGAATCAGGTAGATTCATATCTGAAAGAGGTTGACAATAAGTTCTGTCAAAATTGACTATTTGTCCCTCTGTTAGAGGTGTTCCAGAAATGTCTGCGATCGATTTGGTAGACAATAAAGTGGTGTTCCAACTATTGGTTTTCAGCTCAGGCACAATAAGGCAATTAGTGAAATGGGTGACAAAATGTTGGTCAGGTGAGAATTTTCATCTTTTTGTGATGGCAATATCATTTGCGTTGAAGATAAATCATTATGAAAATATATGGTTAATGTTATTGCAATTGCGATCATTATATGATTATGTAGACTATTACCAAACCACAATATTGTAACCTTAAACTTATTGTTCTTCCTTTGTTTTGAATCTGTCCTTAGCTTTTTCCATCATTAGCTAAAAGAGGAGTAATCTAATTCCAGATGCCAACTTCAACATGATAGCAAATGGTTTCTTTGACTTTCACCAAAGCTTCCTTCAAAGTTGTTTCCTGATCTAGCCCAGGCCCTAGGGCCCTAGAAGAAGAAAAAGGAAATGGAGATTTTGGTGTACATTTGGATTTTATTGACCATTGCTTCATGTTTGTAAAGCTTAGAAGGCACATGAGTTGCAAAGCTTTGTGACTTCTCAAACTCTCTTGCATACATATTCGGTGTGTATAGTACCATTTTTATTATTTGGAAGAATATGGATATGGATATGGATATCACCATCATATTCGTTCGGATCTTCAACTTGGTAAGAGGGTGAAATTGTGGGTGTTTGCTTTTGTTGATTTCATTTGGTGAACGAATATCACGAAGACGATTAAGACTTGGTTATTAATTATATCTTGATCATGAAAATTGATATTGAGACTGGAAATGTAATATCCCAAAATTGATGTATCATACAAAATATTGAAATTCATCACTTCTAGCATGAATATTGCTTTAAGAATCATAATATAAAGATTGATTTATTTAAAGAAATTTCTTATTCAACTCTTGAATTTTTATATCTGACATTGCGTCACATTTATTTGTCTAGCCAAAATGATTTTGTTGTTACATAAGCTCTAATTTGGTTTATAATATATTGTTGCATTAGTATTATTGCCGAAGATTTAATAGCAGTTCAATAAGCAAAAGTGTGTGTCTTCAAAAATGAGAATCATCATCTCTTTATTCATATGAAAAATGAATTCTCTTTCCATATTTTAATCAATATACATATAATACCCCCATAATACTTCTTTTCTATATGAGTAAGATTCATTCCACAATGTCTCCAAAGTAAAGAAGATATACAAAGAAAGTGTTTGGTGATTATCAAGTTAGCATAAACCTTTGCTTGAGGAGTGTTTTGTATTAGTCTTATATGTATATTTGAAGACATGATTATAAAATAGTTATTCAGGTTTTGAAAGGTATTATGTAATATTTGAAGGATTTGTTAATGAATGTTATCTTATTTTCAGGCCAGTGATATAATTCTTATCTTATTAGTTGTCAGCCATATGCATTGCCATCTCTTTAAGACTTAATTATATGTACTAACACTCATTTTTTATCCAAGTTCAATTTTTTTACCAATCAGCCTTCTCAAATATTATACTAATACTTTTAATCACTACTCATTTTTTTCTATCCTTTTTCACTTAATATCTTTATCGTACAAATGGTGATTAGGTAAAACTCTCTAAAAATCGGAAGTTCTAGAAATGAAACCTCAACCTACCTTATATGTAAAGTTCATCTAATAACTTAGCCTACTTTAAACTGTTTTCATCATTGAATTAGAAATAGAATATAGACATGTTGTTCAATCTAAAGCACAACCTCATATCTAGGTCATGAGGTCTCAGTTCATTAGACAAAAATTCTATTATTATATAGTTCCCTATTTCTTTCTTTGCCCTTAATTACAATTTAACTATTACTCTAAAGATATAATACAATTAAGTTATTGAAAGCCCATATATATCTTAAGCCCATACTACAATTTCCATAACCCATCCCCTAAAACTCAATTATGTAGGTTATAGTAAAGTAAAGACTTTGCACAATCCCTTCAATCAATTTCCCCTTGTAACTTCTAACCCATTCTTTTGACTAATAAGCATGTTCCTCATAACATTAAAAACATCATATGCTCTACGTGTGCAAGCAAGGTGGCTCCATCCCATGCCCCATTAAGTTCTTACTACCTTAAACTAATCTCTAAGGACTACAAGGTTGTGAAAAGTTTCCTTCACTTTCATGTTTATTCCTCCACATGAAAAGATAATTGATAGAAACTCAAGCCCTAAGAGCTTTTTCACAAAACATCACATTTATCAAAACTGTAATTCCATTTCTTCAAGAAATATTTTTAAGTTACCACCAAAAAGGTTTGACTTGACACCTTCGCACATTTGTGATAAAGTGTACTCCAACCATTGTCACCACCCCATAACTTAATGGATAATATCATCTTGTCCTAAGAAATGATATAATCCACATAAAGAATCTTTTATTCTAGAGACTTGGACCTTACTAACTTTTATCAACTTTGAGATTTAGATTGTCATTCTTCTATCCTAGGAGTAATTGATATCTACTTTCTATTTAATACAATATTTGGTCAAGCTATCAACATGCATTATTCTCAAATCCTTTCTTCTAGAATAGAGCGGAATGGCATGAAACTAGGTTCTTCTTTTTTCTAAGCAAAGGGAATAATGGATTAAAAAGCATAAGAAGTACTAACCCATTACAAACCGAACTAGCAAAACATCAAGGAAAAACTAATTCCACCCTACAATACAAGTCCAACGATTCATACATCGGGACCTTATTTAAATTATTTTCATGAGATGAATGATACTAAACTCCTTTCCTCCAAAAAATAATGTCATTTCTCATAAGTCAAATTGACCAAAACAATTGAAACCTAAAGTGTAATCCACATCTAGAGGCCATTTTGCCTTCTCGCATAAGCTTTTATAAATGCAGCTTAAAAAGATATATATAGGAGTTAGGGAGAAGAATTGGAATACTTAACTAAGAGTATAAGCTTATCCACACATTTTCAGCAAACTTGCATGAGACAAATAGTTGATCAACCGGTTTCAGATCCTGTGAACAAAAAATACAAAACCAAGTCCTCATCTATCTGAATGATCAACCTTTTTTGAAGCTCCATCTTCGTTGATACCTTCCACCTAAACAACTTTAGATTCTTATTATATCATCAACATATTAATTGTCTCCTATAAAACTTTTTTACTTGTTTTTTTGTATGGTATGTTATGTGTATATGTGTATGTGTATTATGTGTCGAAGTCCCACATCGAGCAATTCTATAAGTTTACTTCGAGTTTTATGTATAAAAGGAAATGACTTCTAATCAGTTCATTCGTCAAATTATTTGGTTCCACTTGTGGATTGTTCTCAGGATAAATTCGCGAGGAAACAGACACATACAACAATAACAAGGTAACTTTCTTCCATTATTTCTTTGTTTTTATGAGCATTTATTTATTTAAATTATGTCTTATACTATTTTGTATCTATTTTATTTGTGAATTTAAATTTCTTGTCTTTATCCATTTTGTTATTAGTTATATTTTCAAATAACCTATGAGTTGTTTTTTGACTTGATAATGGTATTTTAATCCAACTTTTATTCATTCCACATATAATAATAAGAGTGAAACCCTTAGTACATGATTCATTTGGTGTATTATTCAGGAATGTGACAATTAATCAATAATGTTTCTTGAACTAGGTTTTATCATCAATGATAATCTCTACCTAGATGCATTTGGTAGAAAATAAAGTGGTGCTCCAACTATTGGTTTTCAACTCAGGCACAATAAGGCAATTAGTGGGTGACAAAATGTTCGCCATGTGAGAATTTCCATCTTCCTCTCTATCTCTTTAAACCCTATTTTTCCAATAGTCAAATGCAAATTATTTCCTTGTTAAAACTTGTTCTCATGATAATATCATTTGAGTTTAGTGCAATTGAAGATAAAATCATTATGAAAAAATAAGGTTAATATGACTGCAATTGCGATCAATATATGATTACGTAGACTATTACTAAAGCATAATATTGTCACCTTAAACTTATTGTTCTTCCTTTGTTTTGAATTTTCCCTTAGCTTCATTTTCATCATTAGCTAGAAGATGAGTAATATAATTCTGAATGTCAATTTCAATCAGATAGCAAATGGTTTCTTTGACCTTCACCAAAGGTTCCTACAAAGTTTTCCTGTTCTAGCCCAAGCCCTAGAAGAAGAAATGGAAAGGATATTTTGGTGTTTATTTAGGTTTTATTGACCATGGCTTCATGTTTGTAAAGCTTAGAAGGCACATGAGCTGCAAAGATTTGTGACTTCTGAAACTCTTGCATACATACTAGGTGTGAATCATTGTACCCAATTTATTGTTTGGAATGATATGGATTTGGATTTGAACTACATATTCATTCATGTCTTCATCTTGGTAAGAAGGAGAAACTATACACATGGGTGTTTGCTTTTCTTGATTTCATTGGCTGAATGAATATCACGAAGACGATTAAGGCTTGGTTGTTAAGTATATTTTGATCATTGTAATTGGTATTGACATTGAAAATGTAATATCCCAAAATTGATGTATCATGCAAAATATTGGAACTCATCACTTCTAACATGAATATTTTAGGAATCATAATATAAAGATTGATTTATTTAAAGAAATTTCTTATTCAACTCTTGAATTTTTATATCTAACATTGCGTCACATTTATTTGTCTAGCAAAAATGATTTTGTTGTCGCATAAACCCTAATTTAGAACTCTGGGCTTTTCATTGTTTGGGTTGGGTTACTTGGAGTGTATATGTCCAGGCCTTTATTATAATAGAAAGTTTGATGTATTGGCTTCTTATATTCGTCAGAAAAAGATCGTCTCTAAATGTAGCATTTTAGTTTATTTTGGTACATCACTATATATTTGGTAATTTGTCATATTTTATGACCAAGTAACCAATAGATCTCATATACTAGACTTAAAAGTCAAAGGTTTAATTCTGAGAATGACAATAATTATTAAAAAAGATAATCACATATTCGAAAAAGATAATAGGATAGTCTTAATTATAAAAAATGAGTATTACCAGGTTGGTTGGGTTTGTATTGTATGCAATGAAGCAAAAAATAGGTCTCAACCAATCAAAATGGGTTGGATTGGGTTAAACTATCCTTAAATCATGTTTGACAGCAATAAGCTAACGAATGTAATGACTTTTATAACCACAGAAGAATAATTTGGGGTCAAAGAAATACAGGATCTAAGTTTGTGGATAATGTTATGGTTTTCTATTGTTTGGTCTATATGGATAATGAGGAATAACATCATTTACTTATATAAGCCTATGAGTTTTATGCACATAATGGATTTGATTTAAGCCCAACCTTGGTTCTGGTTTTAATCAAAAATAGCTCTAACAGCTTTACTTTTTGGTAATGGAGAGAGATTCATTTACTCCAAGAGTAAGTGAAAAATGACTTACTCCACATCTTAACCATCCAATCTTGGAAAATCCAATGGTTTGAATTGGTAAGTACATCTAAACCATTGGATTTTCCAAGATTGGATGGTTAATATGTGGAGTAAGTCATTTTCCACTTACTCTTGGAGTAAGTGGATCCCTCCTCTTTGCTAAGTGGTGTAATGATCAATAGCTTGTATTTCTTTTTTGCTGAAAAGGATCAAATTATGATCTTCCTCTTATATCTGGGTTAGTACCCCTTGTGCTTCTTTAATATGATTTAGCTTATAAAAAATATTGACTCGTTGAATGTTATAGTATACATAATTACAATTATAGATAAATCATACATGTTATATACTATCTAATTCTAATATAATCAAGCAATAATTCATATACCTCACGAGTCCATTGACGAGAGAGGGTGAGAAAGTTTGAACTCAATTCTCACAGTAATAAATATAAACGCAAATGGAATTTTTGTAGAGTTATATATTTATGTATTGATAAAACTATTCCTTATTTCTATAAGCTTTATCTCTCCCCAAATGAACCATATCGCTAAATTTTTGTATTAAATATGCATAGCACTTATCACATGAGGTGTTACCCTTACCCCGTCCCACAAATTTGAATATGAGTCATTCCTAAATAATGTTGGATTATTGATACTTGGAGGTATTAGATTAGATTATGTTCTAAATGGCCACATTATTTATAAAATAGTATTATGGGGAATATAATATTAGAACTACATAATTATCAAATTATGATAAATAATTTTGGAGCTTAGAAAGTCACAAATAAAAAAGAAATAAGGTTAAAGAATTACTTAGAATAGTCGTGTCCACTTTTGTTATCTCAAAATCCTAAATTCAAGGCATGACTCTGAGTTGATAATGAAAATATATATGATACACCACAACTTAACAGAATCCATAATAAAATCTGCTGCAAAAACTATAAAGAAAAAAGTGATTAATTTGCATAATTTATTGTGTGCGGTGCACGTGGTAGCATGTTTAGCAAAGGACATGGTTGAATAGAATGCACGTGTGTTGGAAGCATCAAAGGAAAGTGAAGAAGACCAACAACCATCCGCTATCTTAATAAAACCCGTAAATACTTGATTTTACTTGTGTTTTCAATAGTAAAAATGTTATTCCATTATATATGAAATATAAAAATGTCTTATTATATTATTGTTTTCTTTTTTTATTGTAATAATTGTCTCTGTATTAATGGAAATGATACTCAAATAAAACTCAATCAAGTAGAATAAAATATTTGAACCAAACCAAGCTTGTGACTTCAAACACTCAACCTCATCATACTTAACCCTCACATGATACCTGACACTCTCTTCTTTCTTTTTCATGTGCTCCCTGCAACCTTCAAATTTTCTAATTAACACTACACCAATAAAGAGGAACCACTATTTTTAAAATAAAATAAAACCATGCAAATAAAGTGATTCCACTGCAACTTATATTTTCTATATTTAAATAACCCAATAAGCTTTTTTCTTTTCACTTTCGGAATAAGATTTGTTTGTTATTTTTTATTTTGCAAATTTCCTAATATGATTGTTTAAGGACTCCTAAAAAAATGTTAAATTTTTTTATTTGTTAAGATAATTATTTTATTTTCATTAAATAATGTATTTAAGACACTTGTTAAACAACCCTATTTATTTTCTCTAAAAGATATGCATTAAGTGAACACAAAAGAGCAACTTAAAATATACTACATTCATTCATATTTATATGTTTCATTGTTAAAAACACCCTCCTTTATTAATGTAGTGACTCTGTTGACTAGCATGAATTTATTTTATTTTTATTAATATATCATTGTTACTTGTGTTCATTAATTTTTTTATACTATTTACATAAATTAATAATATATTAAATAACGGTAGACAGATAAAAGATTAATTATTTGAGTTATTGAGTACTGAACCTTTAAAAAGATAGATAAATAAAAAATTCAAAACGTAAAGATAATTAGTTACTGAGCTAATATTAAAAATAAATAAAAATGGACAGAATGTAATAATGCTATGTACAGTGTAAACAAACCTTATCCACCATTTTACTAGGGTTCATTTATATGGGGATCAGAGTTACATGAACCAGACCCATCTGAGTCAATTCTTGTTTTATCTTAATTCTATATAATAAAATAAAATAATTAAAGTAAAATGTTTGCTCTTACACAAACAGTCACATGATTTTACATGAATATGTTTTTGAATTTGGTGAAGTGGGTATTTATATTAACTTTGAAGTATCCAAAGAAAAGTTAATCATTGATCTTTGCTAACACTAAGCTTCATTAGTCACATGAAAACTAATAGAAAAAATCATATTAAAAGCTTCCATTTAAATCTTATATTTCTAAAACAATTTTCACAGTTTTGGCAACTACTTTGATGAATTGTTTTATATACTTCTTGGGATTAACCAATTTCATTCAGGTATCAAGTATACGCATAGTAATTTTCCAACCAAATGCACCATATTGCAAACGAACATGTTTAGTTTTAAGTTGAATAGCTTTATAATCATGTTTAGCTTAATACTATTAAGTGTAATTTTTTTAATCAGAATTTCGTTTTATTGATGTGTCAATGTAAAACCAAACATGCACATAGTAATGTGAATGAGAATTTAATTCTGTGTAAATGTTCACATCATTAATAAATTATACGTGAAACTTAGATGATATTTTATACGTGATTATGACATTGTTCTTCAATAAAAGACAAGACACGTGTCACATATTTCTAATGAAAATATACCAAGTGTAATAATTATGACACATCTTTTATTCTCACTGAAAAATAACACCATAGGCATATTTAAAGTTGCACATTAATTTTATCATATATATGCAATAATTTTTTCCTCAAAATGTGACTTTTTAAATTTAAATTCATAGTTTTGAAAACCGTGCCGTACCGGCCGGTTCAACCGGAAAACCGGTGAACCGGACCCCTAACCGGTACGGTACCTATGTTATACCGCATATGCAATAGAACCAGTCAAAACCGGTAAACCGGTTGGTTTGTACATTATTATTATTTTATTTTTTAAATTTCAAATTTTCAATTCTTCACCAATTCTTCAACTTCAATGATTGATATTTGGGTCATTTAATTGTATTTTGCGTTTGTTAAGTGATAATTTTGGATAAATATATGTTTTGTACTTTAGACTTTGATTTTATTAAAGACTTAATGTTGTTTGTTTGTGTGAATTTGAAGTAAATTATGAATATGGATTATAAATATGAATATCTACTTATTTGAAATTTTTCGTTATAGGTTTACATATATATATATATAAGCAAGTATATCCGGTTTAACCGGCATGCGGTTTAATTACTGAACCACTGGTTGAACCACTATACCACTATACCAGTACCCTAACCGGTTTGATAACTGGTACGGTTTTAATAACATTGTTTAAATTATTTTAATGAAATTGCTATACATGATTTGATGGTAATTGCTATTAGGAAAGGAAGAGGATGAAATATAAAGTTATAAAGGAAGCTTATTAAACAAACAATAAAAAATAATAAAACTAGTTAACTATACTTCCTATTTTAATCATGGAAAAAAATAAACAAGAAAACGTTTTAGACTTGTTTTTCCACGTTATGTGAAAAGGAAAATCAGAAATCAAAGAATGACCAAAAAAATTATTATGAAATGATCATATTTTAGAGAAAGTAGTGGGTGAGATTAAAGGTAAATTAAGAGTAAATTACATTTACACCCCCTAAGTTTTAATAAAATTACATAAATCACTCTTCTATTCTTTGTCCTTACACCAACCACTCATCCCTCCTACACAAACTACCCCTAGATTTATACATACATTACACTGATTACCACTGCATGTTATAAAAGTGTAATATTTTAAAGAAAAAATGTGTGGTGAATATAATTAAGTTAAACAAAATATTGTATATTGTGTAACACTTCAAATAGTACAAAAACGAGTGTTTCTTTATTATTTTTGTGTCATTAAAAAATACATTATAAATTTCAAAGAAATGTTTAAATAACTCTTATACTATTTTATAACGAGCCAAACAATGAAGACGCATTGACTTTTATATTATTTGAATTTG